CCCTAGAGTTTCTGCTCATCCAGCTGAGGCCTAATTCCCTTTTCAACAAACAGGACATGTTTTACGCGGCACAAAATGCCCCCGTATTCTGCGATAGCGCCCTTTTTGGTATTTGAAAGTCACTATCATCGCAGTTCAAGGCCACGTTCTGTTTGGACAATATCAATTGAGCCGCTAGAGATGACATCGCTGATTCGAGCACACATGTCGTCAATAGCCTTATCCAACTTCGCCCTGACGCATTCGCCTTTTGACAGCACTCTTGATGAGGCCAACAGATCGCCGATTCGAATGTCCACCTTCTGAGACCAGCCCTAAAGCAGATATGGCTCGCCACTTTGAGTCTCGGAAAACCCAGAACTCTCTCTTCGAAACTTACCTGAAGGTGGGTAGAGTGTTGTGATAACTCCAAGTTGACCTTCTCTAACGCCGCTAGGAGTGCTGAAATCAAATTCGCAACGCAAATTTCCAATGAATCAGTGCCATAAGAACTCTCCACAAAATCCGAATCAGAGCATGTTTCAAAAAAAAACTTCTGTGCTCAACAATATCAGCCTCTCCCTGAAAAAGCTCACCTTTGAACGTCTTCGCCCCGCTTGCCAACTTTTCTGCTTTTTTTAAACATCTTTTCAGGAAATTATAATACAAATCTTGTGGACCAGATCCATTGAAATGCAGCTTCTTATTCTGAAATCAAAAAATTCTAGAGATCTTTCTTCGTTAATCTGCGAACAATGACATGGCTTTAGAAGCTGACACAAAAGCAGACTTAGTCAAATGTGGCCCTTAAAACCGATAAATATTCCTCAGCAGTTCAGTATCCTATTGATCTTAATTTGCCCTTCGCAGTCGGGTGTCCCCCAAGAGGCCCGTCGCGCGGCGAAGGAAGAGACGCAGATGCGGCAAAGGACGAGTCGCAGCGCGTGCTGTGCGATATGAGACGTAGTACACTCTATTTAACCTGACGCCTAACCGCTACAGTATGCGCTGCGACTCGTCCTTTGCCGCGTCTGCGTCTCTTCCTTCGCCGCGCGACGGGCCTCTTGGGGGACACCCTCGCAGTCACATGTAAATGTAACCTTCCGCTTGCACTCGTGCAGGAAATGATACTTACCGATT